AGACAAATATTTTATTTGCTTTTCAGTTTTAAAAGTCAATGTCTTCTCAAGAGAAGAAAATTTTCTAACTGAACATTAGGTCAACAAAATGAGTTGATCTGATAGCAATCTAATAGCAATCCTAAGGGCCCTTGATTAAGAGTAAATTAAATTCATGAGAACATGCCTTCTGCCAGGGGCCTTTGTGCTTTGTCATTTGCTCAGCAGTCCTCACCAAGAAGAAATGAAGAGACTGTGTCCATTTTTCTAAATTACTTATTTTCAAACAAAATATTTATTTTAGTGACTCTATATAATGGCACTGTTGTGGGGTGAGGAGGGTCCAAGGAGGACTTTCCAGATTGCTTCCCATCTGATACTGAATCATTACAGCTAAGTATAAAGTTAATATAGATTTCTGCTAAATGAGAGGCATCTGTATAATATTCAGACACTAGCTACTATCACACATTTGTCATCTATGAGATACTTATCTCTCATTAATCTATTTTCAAAGATATCTAATGTAAATTAGCTATAGCCTTTAAAGAGAGAATTTACTTCCTGATTTTTTAAAAAGGCAAAAAATGGCAAAAATATGACCATTATTAACAGGCCTTCAAAACAAAGGTATTGATTGTATTAATATAATATTAATGTAATTCACTTCTAAATATAGACAGGAAGATAATTATAGCCAGCATTCAGTATATAATCTCAAAAAATGTATATTTCTCTATAAGTGAGCATTAAAAGCCAATATTAATAAAATAACCATAAATCTCATTTTCACTTTTATTATGGTTGAAAATCATATATAATCTGTCTTAAAAGGTAAATCACATCATTAATTTTTCAGAATATTTTTACAATAATATATTCATAAAAATCTTTGGATTTATAAGGATTTAGAAAAATTATCTGTCCCAGGCTTTAATAATTTATTAAATCATATGAAAAGACTTATTTGCTTCATTCATGCAGCTATTCTGTCAATTTTATTACCATCCTACTCAACTTGACTGAAAAAAACTGTTAAATATATTTTTATTTTCAAACGTATTTTAATTTAAAAAAAAGAAGTTATTTTGGAACTTTGTCTTATATGACAATTACTTTATTTTAAAACATCCTTTTACTTGTTAATTGTTGCACAATATGCCAAATTCAAAACAACTCTTCTGTCCTTTCTTACCTTCTTTTTTCCTTCTTATCCCTTCTTTCTTTCGTCTCTCCTACAAATATTTATTGAGGGCCTAATATATGCCAAGTACTATATTGAATATTCAGACAAATGGAAATTATAGAAAAATGATTATAGCCAACTTAACAAGAGCTATAATGAGATGTAAAATATACTCCCCAAAAACTTAAACATAACATTATCATTACCTGGCATTTGTTTTTTGTAAAAGATCTGTCTCTGCCACAAGATTTTAACACATCTGGAGCTGGAACCCTATCTTGTTCTCCTATAAATCATTTCCACCACTCATCTCTCACCATTCAGCACATTGCTTTATGCATAATAAGCCTCCAGTAAATGTTTGGTTAAACAGAATATGCTTACAATAGTACATACATACAATATGGAGGCTTTCTTTAAAATAATAACTTTAAAAATAATTTTAGATGCTTATTGTGCAGAATTGGAAAATCCAAACAAGTCAAGAATAAAATTTAAATCATCTACAACCTCATTTCCAAGCAATAATAACCACCATGTATACTTCAATGCATTTCTTTCTGGTCTTTCCTTTATGTATTTGGGAAGTAACTGTACATATATATTTACATATAATTTTGAATTCTAATTTTTTCACTTTTTATATTGTGAACATTTTGCACATAGTAGATAACCCTAAATATTAGTCAGTTTAATGGCTGCCTAATATTTTATCATAAATTTTTATGATTTAAACATTACATGATTATTGGACAATTACTTATTTACAGTGGTTTATAATTATGAATAATTGCACGGCCACAGTCAGTGTCCTGGATACATAAATCTTGTTCACTCTCACTGATTATTTTGCTAAGGACTATACTTGAGAAAATAGCCATATATAGAAAAAAATACTTGGATATTTATTAATTATGTTGTAAATTCCTTTTTGTTCTGGGCTGAAGTTTTTTTAAAAATTCAGTCATTATTACTCATTGTTAAAAGAAGTACACCTTTCTTTAAGAAAACTAATTTTAACATTTTCTAGACCATTAATACTCATAAGGCAAATTATTTTAACAAATAGTTATTTTCCACTACATTTCCTATCATGTCTCACACATAGGTGGTTGTTAATGCTTTTTGAAGAGGTAAATAAATAGAAGAGATGGAATGGAACAGAATAAAGGGAACAATATAGAAGAGCTTAATAAATGAGTTATGTTAATAACTATTCTTATTTGAATGCATTAGCAAAATTCTAAGTCTTCTTTTCATAGCATTTTAACGATCCTCAAAAGTCATGCAGTGTCACTTCTACCATTGTCTTTTGGGTCAGATAGTGACAGGCCAGCCCAGACTCAAGGAGATGAAAGAAGAGGCTCTACCTTTCAATGAGGGAAGGGCCTGCATGTACAGGGAGGAAGGAGTGATGGTGTCCATCTTATATACATGTTGACACAAAGTCCTAAATGCTTTCTTCAAATGCCATTTTTAACTTTAACATATAATTTAAATGTGCCTTTCCTTAACCCACACTTTTTCTTCCTTTCATTCCTTCAATTAAAACTACTTTCTAGATTAACAATGAAAGGAGGAAGGAAGGACCTGTGTACTCCTTGCTTCTTTGGACAAATCAGGCTTTACAACCAGATTCAAATTCAAATCTTAGCTATACCATTCACTAGTAGAATGACTTGGGCAAAAAACATCTTTGCAGAAGAATGCATTCCCTGATACCCACTGCCTACTATAACACCTAACATATAATAAGGTTATTGACTTATTTATTATTTATTGACTAATCAATCTCTGATATTCCATTATGTCCTCTATGAAATAAGGAGAATAATGTCAGCCTCACAGTGACATAGAAATAAATGAACAAGTTATTGTTTGCAAAATCCTTAATACAGGGCCTTAACACAGTAAAGTGAGGATTTGGTAATTATTAGTAATATTATTACAGTTAATATTCTCATTATTTATGTTATCAGCATTATAGTTGCTCTTTATATTTGTGTCACCACAGTCTAACAACTTGTTAGACATCTTCTTAATCCCCTGGATCTCATTTATTTACCTCGCCTCATCCTTAGCTACTGTTTTAATGCTTTAAACATTCATATTGATGACAAATCAAACATATTCTTCCATAAGTCCTTGACCTTGTCAACCTTAATCATATTCCCCACTTCACTCCAAATAAACACAAATTCTCACCCAAAAGTACCCTACATTTAAATCACAAACTCTGGAATTTTCTCTTCACAAGTTCCAATTCTTATATCTTCTCATCATGCTTTCCTTGATTCCTTTCTTTTATTCTAGCTTATCAGCACCTTTCTGGTTTTGCTTGACTCCCTAGTCAACCTTGACACCATGGCCATTCACACCATTGGCATCTTTGATGATAAGCCAAACCAAATTTAAAAATTCCTAAATCTGAATGGACTCAATTGATAAAAATGTTCACTTCTCCTTTCCTAAAAATGTCATTTGCTTCATGAGGCTTTTAAAATTATTTTTCCATCTCCCTATTCTTTCCCTGTTGAAATTCTCTACCCACAGGTCTTTACTAACTGCCTCCATTTCTCCAGTACTCCACCATTTCTTAGCCCCTTATAGTCTAGCTCAGCCCCTCTTGATCAGACTTTGTAATCACCAAATCTGACTCAGCAAAGTTAGACTAGAAAGCCAGGACCAGAGCCAGAGAAAGTAGTTAACTCAGTCCATTCAGATTTAAGAACTTATAGATTGGTTTGGTTTGTCACTAAAGATGCAAATGGTGTGAATGACAATCAAGGTGGATTAGGGACTCAAGTGAAGCCAGAATGGTGCTGGTAGGACTAATTCAGAAAATAACTGAAAATACTTAAGAGGGTTTTGTGTTTGTTTGTTTTCATTGAAAATAAAAGCATCCTTGCAGCCTGAATTGTCTATATTAGAGAATAGAAGAATGTTAATAAGAAAATTGGCATGCTTTCAGCCTCTAAAATGTAAACACTCTACATATCTTTAAATGCTATTAGATATCACTATTTTAGGAGTGATAATACAAAAGTATATTTCTCTATCAGATCACAGTTGTTTCTTGAAGCTAGAGTCTATATGCTCATAGATTGATTATCTCTATTCTATACCAATTTTTCATGAGCATAAGGAAAATAATCTCTATTTCCCACTCTCCCACTCCCACCAAAAATCATCACCATTATCATCATCATCATCATCATCATCATCAAAATCACACCTTCTTTTAATGCCCCACAAAATTTTTCCATGCTTCCCTTCTAGAATATACCCTTCCTTGGCCTGAACTATCATTATTTCAGAGCTCTTCATATTTCCCCTGCTAAAGTTTAAGCTACTTGATAGTCACATCACAGTATTTGTACACTGCAGGTTTCCTGAACATAAAAATTAGGCCCATAAACCTATACCTTTTTAGTAATGATGGGATCTTTCTTTGTTACTGATACCATTGCCTATCACTCTCTATTGTTGCTTCTGTAAACTGTGGTTGATGTCAACAGTCATAGTTGATATTTAATTCATATTCTTGTGTATGTTTCTAATTATATTTTTCTTTTCCTATAAAATATAATGCTAATTGGTAATTGCCTCCAAGCACAAAATGTTAGGAAAAAAATCAAATCTATAATTAAGTTACCAGCAGAAATCATGGAAACTGCCTTGCATCCCATCTCTTTCTACCGTCAATTTCCATTACTAAATATATATTTCATTAAGATGGTTAGATAGTTTGATTGTATCTTTATTGGAAATACAATTTCTCATGGCTCCTCATCGTGGCTTGTACTTAACTTTATCCATTCCCTTTTGCCTATAGGTCCCCCAGGACCACCAGGGGTAGTGATTGTTGAGGAAATCACCGAAAGCACAGCCACACTCTCCTGGAGTCCTGCAGCTGACAACCACAGCCCAATCTCCTCCTACAACCTGCAGGCTCGAAGCCCATTCTCCCTGGGCTGGCAAACAGTAAAAACAAGTAAGAGGTTCTAACGCAACATCAGAGGCAACCAGAACAGCTTCCTATGTCATGAGCTGTATTTGCTAGCAATCTTAGTAGGATCATTTTGGATTCTGGAAACTTTGTTATTTATTACAATACTAACCATTGTTTGCCTCTTTTTATAAAGCTATCTTGCTTTCTGGGTGCCTGGGTGGCTCAGTCAGTTAAGCAACCCACTCCTGATTTCAGGCTCAGGTCATGATCTCAGGGTCATGAAATAGAGCGCTAGGCGGCTCTGCATGGGTGTGGAGCCTGCTTAAGATTCTCTCTCTCCTTACTCTGCCCCTTCCATGTGCTCACACTCTCTGTCTCTATAGTGTACTATATGTGTATACATATTAATTTGTAATATATATAATTGTGGGTATTAGCCTCATTTCTGGCTCCATGTGATACCCCTGCAGATCCAAGAAATTGAGGGAATCTCTAAGTTCAATAGATAATTCTGGAAAGATCACAAAGTCAAGTCACATAAACGGGTTTATTCAAGAATACTTATATCTGCCCCAGTGCTTTTATCTTTTCCTTTGTGTGACAGCCCAAACCTTTGTAGCCAGGAAATGGATTCACCTTTAGATCTGGTGTAGTGCGCTCACCAAGCCCATTTTCCTGCCTGCGGCTAATGCTACATACCCGCTCTAGCCACAGTGCCCATAATTCTTGGGACATTTTTCCTTGTGGGCACATTGCAATACATACATATGTTTCCTCACTCATTCCATATTCTTGTCCTTCTTACCTTAACACATGGCATGGCAATCCAGGACATCTAATCTTCCTCCTATTACAACCATAATTTCCTAGTTACTCTTATAGCTTGATTTCTCGCATGTCTGGGTTCACCTGTTTCTACTTTTTGTTGTTTGATAGAAAGATAAATGTGTACGTATGTGTATGTACATATATACATATGTAAACTGTAGCAAGGAAAAATGAGAGATTGTGTGTGTGTGTGTGTGTGTGTGTGTGTGTGTGTGTGTGTGTAGGGCTTAGACATTTAGACTAAGTATTATTTTGGGGGGATTATTTGTTTTAGAAGTCCCTACTATAAAGTTGTATTCTCATTTTTCTAATTTAATTTGAATGCTGGAACATTTTTAAGTTGAGAGTTCTTTTTAAATTCAGTTCAACAGGTACTTATTAAGGAATCTATGCTTTATTGTATTTATAAGGAAATATATATTTCTGAGAAATATGTTTCTTTAGTGATCAATTTTATTTGCCCTTGATAGTATCTAATGAAATCACTCGTTTCTCAGTCTAGCATGCCATCCTGTCGGCAAGCGTGCCAAGGAGCTGTACTCAACTTTTGCCTGCTCTAAAGTAACAGTTTTAAACAGTTTTTGCCCCTGGCTAAATCTGACCACAACTTTTTTGTGCCTGTGATAAGGAAAGAAGTCCCTCTAGAGCCACAACAGCTCCCCTGGGGCAGTGGGCATTTTGTTTTCATAGTTGTTCTTCATCTAAATCAATTTCTTTTTTTTTTTAAGATTTTTTTTTTAATTTTTATTTATTTGAGACAGAGAGAATGAGAGAGAGAGAGCACATGAGAGGGGGGAGGGTCAGTGGCAGAAGCAGGCTCCCCGCCGAGCAGGGAGCCCAATGCGGGACTCGATCCAGGGACTCCAGAATCATGACCTAAGCTGAAGGCAGTCGCTTAACCAACTGAGCCACCCAGGCGCCCCATAAATCAATTTCATTAGAGGTAAGCTCTAATGCAGAAATGTCTATTAGAAAGAAAAAAAATGGTTTGGGGTTTGAACTCTCTGATAAAGTTAATGCAATATATACCACCATAAATAGGAAAAAAAAAAAAACAGTGAATTACTTATTTTTGACAAATAAGGTGATGAGTTGCATCTGGACCTTCTAGCTAATGACACCTGGAATTAACATCAATATTGCCTATTCAAAACTCAGACTCAAATCAGATGACTGTGAATGTGACTAATTTATTCATTTTGAAGAAAGTATGAAAAAGAGCCGTAAGAAATAGATAATTTCACTGACAGACCCATTTTCTGTTCAAACAAATTGCTTTTGACTTGGAAACTTGACTTTAATCTTTGTATTATTGAATACTATTAGCTGACTTAGTATCTTATTTTGTCTGCTTAGGAATAATCTAATCACCTATAATCATAAAATTGACTGGTCATTATTTACTTAATTCAAACATGTTTCTTAACTACTCTTTCTGTGGAGCTGTCTTCTCTCTGTGGATATATTTTCCACGGATTGATTGGTTGATTAAATTTGTCAACAAGACAGGCTTCTTTAGTTTACATTTAATTATTTAATTAAATTCCAGGATGTAATTCTTCTACAAGAAAAAGCATCCTAACAGGTTTCTTTCCCTGAATCAATATGGGGTCCTCCACTATTTTTAGTCACAGTGTGTTCTCACTGAAGAATGTTTTCTTTGAAACCAACTTATCCCCATACTTCGAGAAAAAAAAAAAAACCTTCTTTATAAAAAGATACCTGCAAGGCTTTAAAAATACTTATTTTAGTATACATTTTCCACTATCTTTCATCTCTATGATATTGCATTTGAAATCAAATACTAATTTTATTTTAAAAAGTTTATTTTTAACATTTCATATTGCATGTTATTTCATCAAAAATATTAATACCTTCAATATATGCTTTTTATAATTGTTTTATAGTACTTACAAGTAGCAAGGAATTTAGAATTTGTAAATATTTTCATTTTTATTTTTAAAGAGGGATTAGATTTAAGTATGGGGAGAGAATATAGGGTGACAGAGAAAGACTTTAAAGCCTACAGTTATTACTAAGATATGTATCCTTGGGAGAAAGGATTTTTTAGGTTTCATATTTTTTTTTTAATGTTAAGCCTGAAATAATTACATCAAGGTTAAAACAGAAATTAACTGTACCAATTTTTATCACACCTGGCAATTTGAACTCCTCTTTCATTCATTCAGTATAAATTTGTCAAACACCTTCCAGGTAGTATTCTAGGCATTTAGGATATATGGGTGAGCAAAACAAAACAAAAATCTTTACCCTTGTGGAGATTGTATTCTCACAGGTGAGGACAAACAATTAACAGAGAAAATAATAAACAAGTCAATTAATTATATAGTATCTTAGAAGTTAGTGAATGAAAAAAATTAAAGAAATACTGTAAGGAGAATCAGAAGTATTATGGTAGAGGTAGTGTATTAGTCTGCTCAGGCTGCCATTACAAAACTATAAACTTGGTGGCTTAAATAAGAGAAATTCTTCTTCTCATAGTTCTAGAGACTTGGGATTCCAAGATCTAGGTGCCAGCCAATTTGATTTAATTCCTGGTGAGAACTTTCCTCCTGGCTTGCAGCTACAGCCCCTCTCACTGTGTCCTCACAAGGCAGAGAAAGTGGAAGTGAATGCTCTGGTATCTCTTCTTATAAGGACACTAATTCTATCAGATAAGAACCCCACCCTCATGACTTCATTAAATGTTAATTACTTCCTATTTTCAACATAGTTGGAACTAATGTATTAAAAAATAAGACAGACACAATCTTCCAATGTCTCTCCATTTCTCTCAGGATGAAAGCCCAACTCCTATATGACTTTGTCCTACAATCTCTCTCCAAACTCATCTTCTACCATTCTCCCTGAAGCTCACTTTGCTCCTGACTCAGTGATCTTCTAATACTCCTACATATAATGTTTCTAATACCTTTGCACTAGTTGTTCCTTTTATCTGACAAGGTTTCCCCTAGATATTGGAATAACTAAAATCCACATCTCCTTTAAAATTTCACTTAAATGTGCCTTCCTACTGAGACTTATCCTGACCACTCTATTAAAATTGTAACCTGCCTGATATGGACTGAATTGTGCCCCCCTCCAAAGTTTATATGTTGAAGATATAACCCCCAGTGTAACTGTATTTGGAGATGAGGCCCCAAAGGATAACAGATGGGCAACTGGATATATGGAGATGGAGTTTAAGAGAGAAGTTTAGAATAAAGATATAAATTGGAAAGTTATTGGCATATAAATTTCATTTAAAACCATAAGATTGCATGTCATCTCCAAGGATATGAACACGATATAAAGAAGAGAGGAGTATGAAAATTGAGCCTAGAGCATTTCAATAGTAAGAAATTATGGAGAAGAGGGTAAAAAAAAAAAAAAAAAAAGATGCAAAGGAAAACTAGCCATTTAGTCAAAAAGGAAAGCCAAGACAATATAATATCCTAGAAGACAAAAGAATAAAATTCATCACAGAAGAGGAAGTAATCAACTGTGTCAAATTCTACTGACATATGAAGTATGATGAGAATTGAGAATTAATCTTCAATATTAGCAACATAGAGGTCATTGGCTACCTTGACAATAATAGTTTCAGTAAAATAATAAGAACTAAGATATCACCAGAATGGGTTCAAGACAGAATAGGTCATTTGCCACAATGAAGTGGGATTTATTCTAGAGATGCAAGGTGGTTCAATATTTGCAAATCAAGCAATGTGATATACCTCTTTAACAAGAGAAATGATAAAAATCCTATGATCATCTCAATAGATGCAGAAAAAGCTTTTGACAAAGTACAACATCCATTCATGATAAAAACACGATAAAATAGGTATAGAAAGAACACACCTCAACACAATAAAGCCCATGTATGAAAAACCCACAACTAACATCATACTTAATGGCAAAAACTGGGAGACTTTCCTCTAAGATCAGGAACCAAGATAAGGATGTCCACTTTCACCCCTTTTATTTATCATAATATTGGAATTCCTAGCCATGGCAGACAAGAAAAATTAATAAAATCCAACCAAATAGGTAAGAAAGAAGTAAAACTCACTATTTGCAGACAACATGATACTATATAGAGAAAATCCTAAAGACTCCACAAAAAAAACACTAGAACCATAAATTAATTCAGTAAAGTCACAGGACACAAAATTAATATACAGAAATCTTGTTGCATTTCTGTATTATAGTAA